TTTTGAATAGCTTGAGAAGAATTGGAGTTAGTTCTTCTTTAAATGTCTGGTAGAATTCAGCAGTTAACCCATCCAGTTCTAGGCTTTTCTTTCTTGGGAGGGTCCTCATTACTCTGAATTTCTGTCTTGGTTATGGGTCTGTTTAATTTTCTATGTCTTCATGGCTCAATTTAGGTAGGTTGTATGTGTCCAGGAGTAAGTATATCAGTTTCTGCTAGATTTCCCAGTTTGTTGGCATACAACTCTTTGTAGTAATTTCTTTCTCTTTCTTTCTTTCTTTCTTTCTTTCTTTCTTTCTTTCTTTCTTTCTTTCTTTCTTTCTTTCTTTCTTTCTTTCTTTCTTTCTTTCTTTGACAGGCAGAGTTAGACAGAGAGAGAGAGAGAAAGGTCTTCCTTCCATTGGTTCACTCCCCAGTTGGCTGCTATTGCCGGCGCACTGCACCGATCTGAAGCCAGGAGCCAGGTGCTTCCTCCTGGTCTCCCATGTGGGTGCAGCACCCAAGCATTTGGGCCATCCTCCACTACCCTCTCGGGCCACAGCAGAGAGCTGCACTGGAAGAGGAACGACTGGGACAGAACTGGTGCCTCAACCGGGATGAGAACCTGGAGTGCCAGCACTGTAGGTGGAGGATTAGCCTAGTGAACTGTGATGCCAGCCTCTTTGTAGTAATTTCTGATGACTCTTTTTATTTCCATGGTGTCTGTTGTTACATTTCCTTTTTCAACTCTAATTTTATTGATTTCGGTCTTCTCTCTCCTTTTTTTGATTAGTTGGGCCAATGGTGTGTCAGTTTTGTTTATTTTTTCAAAAAACTAGCTCTTCATTTTGCTGATCTTTTGTATTGTTTGTTTGGATACAGTTTTGTTGACTTAATCTCTAATTTCAATTATTTCTTTTCTCCTACTGGTTTTTGGTTTGGTTTGCTGTTGTTTTTCTAGATCCTTGAGATGCAATGATAGCTCATTTATTTGGTGCCTTTCCAATTTCTTGTTGTAGGGACCTATTGCTATAAACTTTCCTCTTAACACTGCTTTTGCTCTATTCCATAAGTTTTGATATGTTGTGCAGTCATCTTCATTTGTTTCCAGAAATTTTCTGATTTCTCTTTTGATTTCTTCTGTCACCCACTGTTAATTCAGGAGCAAGTTGTTCAGTCTCCATGTGTTTGCATATGCTCTAGAGATTCCTGAGTTGCTGATTTCCAGCTTCATTCCAAGAGGTATGATTTTGATTTTTTTTTTTAATTTGCTGAGACACTTTATGGCCTAGCATGTGGTCAATCCTAGAAAAAGCCCCATGCACTGCTGAGAAGAATGGGTATTCTGCAACTGTAGAATGAAAAGTTCTGTAGATATGTGTTAGGTCTATTTGCTCTATAGTGTCAATTAAATCTTCTGTTTCCTTGTTGATTTTCTGTCTGGTTGATCTGTCCATTCCTGAAGGTGGAGTATTGAAGTCCCCCAAAACTATTGTACTAGAGTCTAAGTCTCCCTTTAAATCCCTTAACATATCTTTTAAATAGCCCAGTGTCCTGTAATTAGGTGCATATACATTTACAATAGTTACATCTTCCTTGGGAATTGATCCTTTAATCATAGTGCCCTTCTTTGTCTCTTGTAACAGTTTTTGTGTTAAAGTCTATTTTGTCTGATATTAAGATGCTACATCAGCTCTTTTTTGGTTTCTGTTGGCATGAATATCTTTTTCCAACATTTCACTTTCACTCTGCTTGCATCTTTGTTGATAATATGTGTTTCTTGTAAGCAGCAAATAGATTTTTTAATTCATTCAGGCAGTCTGTGCCTTTTAACTGGGGAGTTGAGGCCATTGACATTCAATGTGACTATTGTTAAGTGATGACTTTTCCTACTGTTTTTCCACAAATATTCCTAATTTATACTTTGATCTACCTTTGATCTTTTACTGAGTGATTTTCTTCCTTTATTTTCTTTTGTATTGATGACCATGTTTCTGTGTCTCTTAAGCATTTTTTTTTGCAGGACTGGGTGGTTGGTGACAAATTCTATCAATTTCCATTTGCTATGAAAGGTCTTTATTTCAACTTCATTCACAACTGAGAGCTTTGCAGGATATAATATTTTGTGCTGGCAGTTTTTTTTCTCTTAGGACTTGGTCTAAATCTCATCACTCTCTCCTAGCCTGTAGGGTTTCTGATGAGGAGTCTGCTGTGAGTCTAATTGGAGATCCTTTGAAAGTAATCTTGTGCTTCCCTCTTGCACATTTTAGAATCTTCTCTTTAAATTTCACTGTGGTGAATTTGATTACAATGTGTCATGGTGAGGATCTTTTCTGGTTTTGTCGATTGGGAATTCCGTGTGCTTCCTGTACTTGAATGTTCCTTTCTTTCTCCAAACCTGGGAAGTTTTCTGCTAGTATTTCACTAAAAAGGCCTTCTAATCCTTTCTATCTCTTCAAGCTTTCAGAAACTCCAAGAATCCAATATTTTTTTTTTTTTGTAGTATCCTATAGATTCCCAATAGTATTTTTTAGATTTCTAATTTCTTCTTCTTGTCTTTGGTTTGACTATACTTTCCTGTGCTTTCTCTCCTAAGTTCAATATTCTCTCTTTTGCCTCACTGATTATGTTTTTAAGGCTCTCCACTGCATTTATTTCTTCTATTGATTTTTTCATTTCAGTTTGATTTCTCTTTATGATCTCCATTTCACGTTCTATTGAATTCATCATTTCATGTTGATTCCCCCTTAGGATCTCAATTTCATGGGTGAGATAATTTTTCATGTCCTGCATGGATTTCAGTAGTTCTTGTGTTTGCTTTTGATTACTTATATGGAATCTTATATTCAATTTTTTGAGTTCCATTTCTTAGATTTCTTCTATCTCATTGTCTTCATAATCTAATATTAATGTGTTATGTTCTTTTGAAAGCATCATGTTGTCTTCCTTATTCTTTTTTTTTTTTTTTTTTTTTTGACAGGCAGAGTGGACAGTGAAAGAGAGAGACAGAGAGAAAGGTCTTTCTTTGCCATTGGTTCACCCTCCAATGGCCGCCAAAGCCGGTGCGCTGCTGCCGGCGCACCACGCTGATCCAAAGGCAGGAGCCAGGTGCTCATCCTGGTCTCCCATGGGGTGCAGGGCCCAAGGACCTGGGCCATCCTTCACTGCACTCCTGGGCCATAGCAGAGAGCTGGCCTGGAAGAGGGGCAACTGGGACAGAATCTGGCACCCCAACTGGGACTAGAACCCAGTGTGCTGGCGCTGCTAGGTGGAGGATTAGCCTGTGGAGCCATGGCCCTGGCTTCCTTATTCTTGTTTCTTGGATTATTGCATATGTTTTTCAGCATTTGTGGAGATATCCATTGGTTTCTTCTTCTTTTTTCCACTGTGACAGCTTTTATTGTACTATGACTCTGTAGTTAAGTGGGCTTTCCAATTTCTGTGACTCTCTAGATGTTTGTACTGGGTGTGGCCAGAGAGTTCTGTTCAGTTCTCCATAGTTAAGGGCATGCCTAAGGTGACACACCCAGTTTTGGAGTGTTAAATCTTCTCTTTTTTTAAACCAGAAGGTAAATATATTCTGCACAACTGAACTCTTCTCTTCAATCGAGACCAGTTCCTGAGCGCTAGCCTCAATGGGTATAATATCCATCTGCTCTGTCCCAAGGACCACACAAAGGATTGGTGCAGTCCTCAGTGTAAGTTTAGATTCCCTAACAATGTCTCTCAGCATGAATCCAGGAACTCCTGAGCTTGTGGCATCTCCCACTGAGACTGCTTAAAGTCCCAGCCACACCATGAATTCTCCCACACACCCTCAGTTTTTTTTCACAGTGCCAGTTCAGAAGTTTCACACAGTCACAAGCTCCTAGCCCCCTGTTATTTCTTCCCACCATAGTCAGGAGTCTCCACTCAGTTGACTACCAGGCATAGATGTGAGCTGGTGCAGCTGGTACATATGTCCACAATGGCACCCGCTCTGTTGGCTTGTCACAGTACACTTTTGTAAAGTGAGCAGAGAGAGAGAAATGTGTCCATCCTGACCTTTTTTTTTTTTTTCTCCTCTAGTTTGGCTGATGCACATTTTGCCATGGGGCTTCATTCCCTCTAGGCTCTTCCCCGCATTTTTTTTGCTAGTGGCTTGGGCTTCTGTGGTCTGATCTCACCTCACTTTCCAGCACTGGTGCATAAGCTCTTGGCTGTTGGAGTCCCAAACTGTGGACACTCACAACCTCCACATAAGTCCATTGTGTCCCTCTAATTTCCATAGAGTTTCCTCTGTCATTTTTTCCCCTAAGTCTTCCCTGAGACTACACTATATCCACTTTTTTAAACTATCTTTTCTTGGGCTGGAGCAGGAACTCTCTCTCTATTCTGCCATCTTGGAACCTCCTAATAGCTGAAAATTGACCTCAAATTTTAGTCCTTTTGGAATCCTAAAATAGTCAATTTCACTCTGTGGTTATCATTCTCTTCATATCACAATGACTATATTTTTCATTCTTACTTTAGTGCTAATCAAGTATTAGAGCTCTCTTATTGACTAAGTGCTTGATATTACCATGGCAAGTCATTAGTCAGAAGGTACATTTAAGACATGTAGAGGCCAGCACCATGGCTCACTAGGCTAATCCTCCACCTGCTGTGCTGGCACCCCAGGTTCTAGTCCCGGTTGGAGTGCTGGATTCTGTCCCAGTTGCTCCTCTTCCAGTCCAGCTCTCTGCTATGGCCCAGGAAGACAGTGGAGAATGGCCCAAGTCCTTGGGCTCTGCACCCACATGGGAGACCAGAAGGAATCACCTGGCTCCTGGCTTCAGATTGGCACACTGCACCAGCCATAATGACCATTTGGAAGGTGAACTAATGGAAGGAAGACCTTTCTCTCTGTCTCTCTCTCTCTCTCTCTCATTAACTCTGCCTGTCAAAAATAAAAAATTAAAAAAGACCCATGGAGAGAAAATTATTTGTTAAAGTCCAATCAACAACAACTGAGTGTGGCCTTTCCACTTTCTCTCTTCTCAGGACTCACCTCAGAATCTTCATCTGCAGTTACAAAATGAGCAACTCCTATTGTCAGAGGTATGTGGCTACCACTACAGGGAGCAATAACTCTTGGAAAGGACAAGGGAATCCACTACTTCATGGTACCATTCTAGTTCATTAGTGTCTGCAACTTCATCTTCTGTTTAAGTTGTATGATGCTGAGAACTAAGTAATAATTTGCTTTTGGGTCTGAGGTGAAGTTACTTAAGATGGAAGCTCAAGACTGAGATCTCCCAATTTGTAGAATAAAGTCACTGAAAGGCAATTACCAGATCAGAGATGGTACAGAAATTTGAACAGCATAATTCACACATTGTACTTAGAAACCAAAAATGACCAATATTTTTGGGCCAAGAGTACATGCCCATGACACTACCAGTCAGATCAGGAAGAATTTGATAATAATTTCATGCCTATTCTCATTTAGACAGGAAAACAAGGAAAAGTAGGAGATCTTTAACACCCTTATTTTGTCTCATTGCCTAATTTGTGGGAGAAACCAGAAATTAAGTGCAGATCTAAAAAAATGTTTTGTTAGATATATACAGATAATCGGTTGGGCTGATGAATAGATGAATTTCAGGAACTTTTGGGTAAAGAAATATCAGATAGTACAATTTATAATATTCACAAAGATATTAGAGAATATTCACCCTGTTTTCTAGCCATACTAACCCACTAAATGTATTAGAATAATTTTCCTCACTGGGAAGTATAATCCATTGATGGCCAACAAATTGTTTTTGTAGGAAAGATCAAGCATAATTTTAAAGGATTAAAAATGCGTTATTCAGGAATATTAATTGCTTCAATGAAGATTTTAAGTTAAAAAGAGCAAGCCAGGGACAGGCTGAGGTCAGGATCCAGAAGCTTTATCTGGGTCTCCCACATTGCAGCATTTGCCCAACTTCCTGATGAGATTGTGAAGTGGTGTTAATCGTATAAATTTTCATGTAATTCAGATTTCTCCCCAACTCACACAGTATGTATCAGCGTTGTGTGTAGGACAAATCTGAAAACACAAAGCTTTACAAATAGCCATTTGATTTGAATTTCTGTTTCAGTATTTTGGGATGAGCTCAGCTGGGCAGTTTCTATTTTCATTCTGGGATGAGAAATAAGGGTTCAGTCATCTGAGGGATGGATTGAGGCTGGAATCTTAGAGCTGACTTCTTTTAGATGTTTGGTAGTTTGTGGTGAATCTTGTCTAGATCCTATCTCTTCAAATGGTAGGTCCCAGGGTTTTCCAGAAGATAACCGTCAAAAAAGGAAAATCTGAGAAGGGAAATGCTTTACAAAATATCTGTTTCTATCACATTTACTGATATATCATGGGGTAAAGTGAATTAAATTGTGAGTTCCAGGGTCTTGTGAAGGGATGGATATAAGGAATGACATTATTTGGAATCATTAATGAAACAGTGTACTACATTAAATATACATTAAGTATAGTTGTTCCAATGCAATTTTGGCCAAAAATGTGAAGCTGTAAGTTGCATATTTTCTATAGAATTTCACATCTCCACAATGAAGCTGATGTTTTCTCAGTTAATATATTCTTTGCTCTTTATTCATTCTACCATTTTCTTTTTTCTCCACAGTTTAATGTAGAAGCAAACCAGAAGAGTTTTCTTTTAACTCCTTCCATTCACCTTCTGTTCCAGGTATCATTCTGGGCACCTCCAGATATTTCCAAGAGCAAAGAAAATTAATACATCACCTGTAAGTGGTTTTCTTTTTGTAAAAGATTTACTTTTTTATTTGAAAGCAAAATTTACAAAGATAGAGGCGGGGGAGAGGTCTTCCATCTGCTGGTTCACTCCCCAAGTGTCTGCAATGGCCAGAGCTGAGCTGATCTGAAGCCAGGAGCCAGGAGCATCTTTCAGGTTTCCCATGTGAGTGTAGGGGCCCAAGGACTTGAACCATCTTCCACTGCTTTCCCAGACACAATTTTAGGTAATTGGATCAGAATTGGGCAGTTGGGACATGAACTGGTGCCCATATGAGATGCCAGCACTGTAGGCACCACAGTGCTTTCCCCTGTAATTGGTTTTCTTAATTATTCCTCAGCTTGTTGTCATTTTTCATTTTAGGAGATGTGTAATAGTTTATTAATTAAAATGGAAAAATAAGCATAAAGTTTATTCTCAAGGAATATACACAAATAAGATTACTGATGAATTTGGAATGATTATGAAACATAGTCATCTAAGATAAGGCAATTTGGTCTCTTTCTGTTGCCATAGAAAAACATACATTTGTTACATGTTTTGAGTTGAAACTTAGAGTACATTATGCTAATTTTTGGCAGCCATGCTGTCCAAAACAGTCTTTATAGTCATATAGATGATGTAGTGGGCAATGTTTTAGTGCCACCCTGGAAATAAACACTTAACATTCTGCAAGGGTAAGAATTACTTAATGCTAAAACATAAATTAGTTAAATTTGTTTTTGAATTGTTAGGATAATGCAGTCCTTAATAATTTTGAGAAGCTGAACTGGATTCAGGGATAGGATAAGGAATGTGTGCAGTAAAGAATCTACTGCAGGTTGTTTTTTATGATTTGTTCATTTATTTGAAAGGCAGAGTTACAGAGATTGGGAGAGACAAGGAGAAAGAGATACCTTCCATCTATGGGTTTATCCCCAAATGGCCACAATGGCCAACACTGGGCCAGGCCAAATCCAAGAGCCCGGAACTTCATGTGAGTCTCCCACATTGATGGAAGGGACCCATATATTTAGGCCATCTTTCATTGTTCTTTCAGGCACATTAGCAGAGAGCTGGATTGGAACTCAATTAGCTAGGACTTAAATTATCTGTTCACATGGATTGTCAGCATTGCATGTGGGGGCTTAACCTGCCACACCACAATGTTGCTGCTTACTTTAGGTTCATAAACAAATCTCTATGAATTTCTTTCAGTAAGTCACAAATGCAGATTGTACTTCAGATTTTCCCAAACTCTGATTTTGGGCAAATAATTATATTGTTTTCACTTTAATTTGGTATAATGTATTTTTTCTTTTTTTTATATTTAAGCTTCAATTTTATTTGAAGCCACAGAATTGGAAACCATGTAATATCTTTATTTTTTTGTAGAAACCTTTTATTTGATGAGTACAAATTTCTTAAGTAAAACTTTAGGAATATAGTGATTATTCCCACCATACCTGCCCTCCCACCCTCACTCCCTCCCCACTTCCTCATCCCTCTCCTATTCCCAGTCCCATTCTCCATTAAGATTCATTTTCAATTAACTTTATACACAGAAGACCAATTCTATACTAAGTAAATATTTCAATGATTTGTATGCACACACACAGACACAGACACAAACACACATACAAAACATAAAAAAAAACTATTTGAGAATAAGTTTTACAGTTAATTCTCATAGTACAATTCATTGGCAAAGGTCTTGCATGGAAAGTGAGTACACAGTGACTCCTGCTGTTAATTTAAAAATGAACACTCTTATTTATGTCAGTGATCACCTGAGGCTTTTTTTTTTTTTTTTGACAGGCAGAGTGGACAGTGAGAGAGAGAGACAGAGAGAAAGGTCTTCCTTTTGCCATTGGTTCACCCTCCAATGGCCGGTGCGGCTGGAGTGCTGTGGCTGGTGCATCATGCTGATCTGAAGCCAGGAGCCAGGTGCTTCTCCTGGTCTCCCATGTGGGTGCAGGGCCCAAGGACCTGGGCCATCCTCCACTGCACTCCTGGGCCATAGCAGAGAGCTGGCCTGGAAGAGGGGCAACCAGGACAGAATCTGGTGCCCCGACTGGGACTAGAACCTGGTGTGCCAGCACCACAAGGTGGAGGCTTAGCCTATTGAGCCACAGCACCAGCCAACACCTGAGGCTCTTGACATGAACTGCCAAGGCTATGGAAACCTTTTGAGTCCACAGTCTCCATCAGTGCTATAATGTATTTTCATTTCTTCAAATGTTTCTCAGTAGAATAATCAGAGACAAAGCCAAAAGCTATTTTCTGTCCTATGTCTTACTTGAATCTTCTCTCTTATTTAAAAATATTTATGAGCTTGATAGAGAAAGAAGTTGATGGAGCCTAAGAGAGATAAATAGCTCTCATGCATTTGTTTACTCCATAAATAACCATACCAACCAGAAGTAGGGCAAGACTGAAGCCAGGAGTCAGGAATGGAGTCTAGTCCTCCCTCATTGGTAGCATCACCATTGCTTCACCAGATCTGCATTAGCTGGGAGCTGGAAACTAGAGCTGGCACTGGAAATCCAACCTGGGCACTCTGAGGTAGAGTATCTTGGTTGCCATAAAAAACACGAAGCTAAATGCTTGCCCTCTCTTAAATTATTTTTTCTCTGCCATATTTCAAGTGACTGTGGTTTCCTGGAAATTCTTCTCTGTTCATTCCCATCATAGATGATTTCTAGACTTTTTCCTTGAACACTTCTATATTCTCCTTAACATAGCTCATTCAAGAGTCAATATTGTCCCCCTTTTGGGCTGCTGTGCAATTCCCTTTGACAGACATGGTCCTTTGTGATCTGAAACTCCTATTTCCCTCTAGCTTGGGCATTTTTCACTGCCTTTAGACCATAGGTTGACTCCCTGTCAAATGCCTCTCTGTTACTGTCCAAATGCTCAACAAGTCTAAAATGAAATCATATTATTCCTTCTTCCTTCATACCTGTATACAAGATACACAACTGAAAGTCTGTTTTGTGACAGAGTTGAGATGTTGACCAGAAGTCTTCAATTACAGGTGATGATAGCATTTGAAGACCTGGCTGTGTACTTTAGCTGGGAGGAATGGCAGAAAATGAACAATGCTCAGAAAATCCTGTACAGGGATGTGATGTTGGAGACCTATAGCAGCCTCTTCTCCTTGGGTGAGTGACAGCCATCACTCAATGGTAATAGTTTCTTGCTATTTGACAAACAAATGAACACTTTATGAAGTTCAGTGATGGGCAGGTATAGAATTTGAGTCCATGAGTAATATGAATGTCTACCATCTAAGAAAGGTTTCAAATTGGAACATTTGTTGCATAGCTCATGAACCAAGCTGTAGTCCTTTAAATAACCCAAGATAGTGATTTCACAGTCTTACATTGTTTCCATTAATAGGGCACTGCACTACCAAACCTGACTTGATCTTCAAGTTGGAGCGAGGAGCAGAGCCATGGATGGTGGAAGAATGCCTGAATCAGAGCCTTCCAGGTCAGTCTGCACATAGTGGGCAGGGAGGCCAAGGCAGAAAGAGTGCAGCAGATGTTGACTGGTGCTGTTTCCATGAATTTTTCCCAAGTCTTACTCCTGAGGACAGCTGGTTTTGTGCATCAGACACATGCATTCTAGAATATCTAGAGTATCTATTCTATTTCTATCTCTAATTCTTTTATTCTTGGTGAATATCTAGGTTAGATACAGTCCCCAAATTCTAACTTGTCATTCTCTACACTTTTATATCTTTCCTTCCTTGTTAATTTGAAAACTTATAAAAACTTGTTTCTTACTCATTGCTCAGATTGATTTCCTACTCATGGTTTTGGCCAGAAACAGAACTTGCTATTTTAAGCATCTTAGGACTAAACCAATAAATGTGGACTCTCCATTTCTTTGTTTCTTTCTCTCTCTCCTTTTTTCCCATTCTTTGTGCCTGTCAAATAAATAGGAAAATTATATGTTGCTGGAAACATTTGAAGAGTGATCCTGTGGCTGGCAACCCTCTGTTTCATTCTCTCTTTGTGTCTCATTCTCTGTCTCTCTGACTTTCAGGTAAGTAAATAAGTAAATAGTAAGAGATGGCCGGAAGTACACCTCCCTGCTGTGGCATCAGAAATCATGAAGTTAAGCAGGAACTTGTATAGGAACATGAGAATAAGTGATCCTAGACTCACTATGAAAGTGATGAGATTCTGAGACCCAAGGTCAAGTAACCTCATGGGTTTATGTTGAGTGGCTCAGATTTGTTAAAGAGTGGAGTTTGAAGTATGAATTTTCTCTTATTTTTCAGTATCACTTAAAAACAAACAAAAAGAAAAGAAAGGCACAGGAAATGGAGTTTTCTGTGAAAATAGGAGACAACTATTCAAAAGCCTTCAGAATCACAAATTGTCACAGATTAGTGTTTATAGAAGAATTGAGAAGAGATAAAAGGGGCTGGTGATTTCAGAATGACATATAAAACACTTTTCAAAGAAGGTCAACATATCCTGGATTGCAGAAACAGACTCTTTAAACTGGTAGAGGAGCCGGCGCCGTGGCACAGCAGGTTAAAGCACTGGCCTGAAGTGCCGGCATCCCATATGGTGCCAGTTCTTGTCCTGGCTGCTCCTCTTCTGATCCAGCTCTTTGCTATGGCCTGGATAACAGTAGAAGATGGCTCACATCCTTGGGTCCCTGCACCCACATAGGAGACCCAGAAGCTCCTGGCTCCTTGCTTTGGATCAGCACAGCTCCAGCTGTTGGAGCCAACTGGGGAGTGAACCAGTGGATGCAAGATCTCTCTGTGTCTCTACCTCTCTTCATAACAATATCTTTCAAATAAATAAAATAAATCTTTAAAAAATAAAAATAAAAAATTAAACTGGTAGGGAGTGTATACCCAAGGCAGTATATTAGGACTTTGTACCTGTTGTAGTTCTGAGAAGCTGAAGATGTCAGGTTTCCTTAGGAATATGGGGAAGCTGTCACTGAATGCAAATAAAAGTGGAATTTTTCAATTGAAAAATCCCATGAATGCTGTTTCCCTGGGAAGATTGAATATGAGAAAATCATAGATTCAATCTTATTCCTCAAATGTGGTCCTGCCTAGAGTATAGACACTTTTCATTTATTTTAAAGATTTATTTCATTATTTGAAAGACAGAGTTACAGAGAGAGAGAGTCAGAGAGAGAGAGAGGTCTTCCATCCACTGGTTCACTCCCTAATTAGGTGAAATGGCCAGAGATGAGCCAATCTGAAGCCAGGAGCCAGGAATCTCTCCCAGTTCTCTCACATGGGTGCAGGGGCCAAGGATCTGGGCCATCTTCTACTGCTTTCTCAGGCCACAGCAGAGAGCTGGGTCAGAAGTGGAGCAGCCAGGGCTCAAACTGGTACTCATATCAGATGCCAGTGCTGCAGGCCAGGGCTTTAACTTGCTGCACCACAGCATTGGCCCCACATTTCATTCTTCTCCATCTGCAAGTAAATGAACAAATAAAACCTTCCCATATTTATGGTTGAAACATCAGAGAGAGCATAAAACATACACTTGTTATAAAAATATGCTGGAAAAAAAGACCAGGGAATAATTGGCTGCTAGCGAATTGGTGAAGATTTCTACTAAATATTTGTTCATTTTTAAAAAATCTTCTATAGTCGTTTCATCTTTGTGAAAGGCAATGACAGTGAGAGGGGAAGATCTATTAGCTCACTCTCCAAATGCCAGCAAAACTTAGGTCTTACTAGTCTGAAACCCAAAGTCTAGAATTCCATTTAGTTTTCTTTGATGTATTACAGGGCCCTAAGCATATGATCCATCATTTGCTGCCTCCCAGTTTACATAAGTAGAGAGCTATATTGGAAGCAGAGTAGCCACAGCTCAAACTGTCATTTTGTTATGCAGGCATCCCAAGCAGTGTATTAACACAACTGACTACAAAAGCCATTCTGCCATACTTGTTAAAAATTCAGGTAGTAAGGCTGGTGCCATGGCTCACTAGGCTAATCCTCCACCTGTGGTGCCAGCACCCCAGGTTCTAGTCCTGGTTGGGGCACTGTTTCTGTCCCAGTTGCTCCTCTTCCAGTCCAGCTCTCTGCTGTGGCCCAGGAAGGCAGTGGAGGATGACCCAAGTGCTTGGACCCTGCACCTGCATGGGAGACCAGGAGGAAGCACCTGGCTCATGGCTTCAGATTGGTGTGGTGCGCCAGTTGCAGTGTGCCAGCTCTAGCGGCCATTTGGGAGGTGAACCAATGGAAGGAAGACCTTTCTCTCTCTCTCTTTCTCACTGTCTAACTCTGCCTGTCAAAAAAAAAAAAAAAATTCAGGTAGTAAACAGGATCATGAGTAAAAATTGGTAAGTCTATTGGTACAATTGAATATATTAATATGTTAAGGAGAAAAACAAATAATGGCATAACTAAGTAACTTGCACTTATTTTAATAAAATCTTATGCCACTTGTTTAACAAGTAACTTCATTTCTTTACATGAGTATGCCAGGAGAAACAGTTACATGTGATTCTGTGATGTAGTTTTTTTTTTTTTTTTTTTTTTTTTCTCATTTCAGTTGCCATGAAAAGGGATGACCTGATTTGGACAAATCAGGAAAATCAGGACAAAATTCTGAGTCAGCATGTTATGAAAAATAACAAAACATCAACTCTCAAGAGAGTTGAAGTAAGAAAAAAACTTCATTTAAGTTCAAGCCATGTTCCAAATCTGATTAGCAAAAAGGGAAACTATTTAAGAATGAAACCTGAAGAATGCAATGGATATCACAATGTGTATCCCCTCAGTGGGCCTGATCAACTACAAGCTGGTGAAAAATGTGATGCCACTAAGGTACCTGGGAACTCACTCCAGTTCTGTGAGCCTATTAGTCAGCATCACAAGAGTCAGACTGTGAAGAACCCACTTGAAAATATTGGACCAGAGAAAGTCTTCACAAGGGAGAATATACTCTGTAAATCTGAAAGGATTCATATGGAAGAAACCTGTAATACATCAACTGTCACTGTTGAAAAGACAACTCAAATAAAAAAAACTTCCTATAAAAATTCTAATCTTAGTATGCATCAAGAAACCCACACAAGAGAAAAATTATATGAAAATATTAGATATGTGGATCCCAACACTTACCAATCACATCTTGCAATAAATCAGAGACCACATACAGGGAAAAAACCCTATGCATGTAAACCTTGTGAAAAATCATTCGATTCTAAGTGCTGTCACAACATCCATTACAGTACTCACATACAGGAAAACCGCAATGTGTGTAATGAATATGGAGAGCCCACTTATCAGATGTCAGATCTCATTACACATCAGAAAATTCACAAGCAGAGGAGGCCACATGAATGCAAAGAATATGGAAAAGCCATTTTCCAGAAATCATATTTCATAACACATCAGAGAATTCACACAGGGGAGAAACCTTATGAATGTCATGACTGTGGAAAAGCCTTTGGCCGTAAGCCACACCTTATAAGGCATCAGAAAATTCACACAGGGGAGAAACCTTATGAATGTAATGACTGTGGAAATGCCTTTCGCAATAAGTCAGAACTCAGAATGCATCAGATAACTCACACAGGGGAGAAACCTTACGAATGTAATGACTGTGGGAAAGCCTTTGGCCGGAAGTCAAGCCTCATAATTCATCAGAGAATTCACACAGGGGAGAAACCTTATGAATGTAATGACTGTAGAAAATCCTTTTGTTCTAAATCATATCTTATTGCACACCAGAGAATTCACACAGGAGAGAAACTTTATAAATGTAATGACTGTGGAAAAGCCTTTGGCTTTAAGTCAGTTCTCAGCAAACATCAGAGAATTCACACAGGGGAGAAACCTTATGAATGTCATGACTGTGGAAAAGCCTTTGGCTGTAAGTCAGCCCTCAGTAGACATCAGAGAATTCACACAGGGGAGAAACCTTATGAATGTAATGACTGTGGAAAATCCTTTTGCTCTAAATCATATCTCATTGCACATCAGAAAATTCACACAGGGGAGAAACCTTATGAATGTAATGACTGTAGAAAATCCTTTTGTTCTAAATCACATCTCATTACACACCAGAGAATTCACACAGGGGAGAAACCTTATGAATGTAATGACTGTGGGAAAGCCTTTGGCTGTACATCAGCCCTCAGCAAACATTGGAGAATTCACACAGGGGAGAAACCTTATGAATGTAATGACTGTGGGAAAGCCTTTTGCTCTAAATCACATCTCATTGCACACCAGAGAATTCACACAGGGGAGAAACCTTATGAATGTAATGACTGTGGAAAAGCCTTTGGCTTTAAGTCAGTCCTCAGCAAACATCAGAGAATTCACACAGGGGAAAAACCTTATGAATGTAATGTCTGTGGAAAAGCCTTTGGCCTCAAGCCACAGCTCATAAGGCATCAGAAAATTCACACAAGGGAGAAATTATTTATGTGATGACTGTGAAAAGGCCTTTGGCCATAAATCACAACTCAAAATGCATCAGAGAATTTACATAGGGGAGAAGTCTCATGAATATAATGACTGTAGAAAAGCCTTCGGCCAGAAGTCAAACCTCATAATGCATCGGAGAATTCACACACAGCAGACAATCATTCGTGTAATGACTAGAAAATCCTTTTGTTATAAATCACAACTCATGAAACACCAGAGAATTCACACAGGGGAGAAACTTTATGAATGTTATAGTGTGGGAAAGTCTTTGGCCATAAGTCACATCTCATAATCCATCACAGAATTCACACAGGAAGAAATCTTATGAATGCAATGACTATGGAAAATCCTTTTGCTATAAATCATAACTCATGACACATTGGAGAATTCACACAGGGAGAAACCTCATGAACCCAGAAACTGGAAAAGCCTTTGGCCAGAAGTCAAACCTCATATTACATGAAAGAATTCACATGAGAGAAGCTTTATGAATATAATGACTCTGAAAAGCCTTTGGCCATAAGCCACAGCTAATAATCTATCAGAATTCACAGAGCGGAGAAATTTCATGAATGCTGCTCAAATTCTGGAGGTAACTGAAGTGTATTAAATAGATGAGCACAATCTCTGGTGGTAGATGTCAAAATAATGATCTGATCCGGGAAGATGGGCAGAGTGCTAGTAGGATCAACAACAGATTGATCAGGTAGCTTCCTGATACAGATCTAAGTATTAATATATGGCAATTCTTTCCTTAACAACATCAATGTTGGAAAATACATGATGTGGTGCACCTTTAGAAGCCATTTCTTAAGTCTATGTGGAATGCTTTTTGTGTGTTGTCGCTCCCCCTCTTCGCGGAGGAACGACACTGGACCCTGCGCTGTTCTTTTGTCTGCTCGGCCCTTCCCAGGTTTGCTGCTGGTCCTTCCTGGGTTGGCTGCTGACCCCTCCACCTCTGTGGAGGGGTGGCACCCCCTGCCACTTTCCCCGCTTCCGCGGAGGAGCGGCACACCGCCGGCCGGCTCTCTTGGGGGCTGCTCAGGTGTTCCTTCAGATGTTCCTCGTGCATGTTGTCTCTCTCCTCCTTTATAGTCCTCTTCCACCAATCCCAACTCTGCTGCCCACACGCCAAACACACTGCTCTCCTCCAATCAGCAGCAGGATCAGCTCCTGCAGCTCATCAGTCAAATTGGCGAGAGGCAGCTGCGTAGAAGTTTACTCCTCCCCAGCGCCATATTGTGGGAGAGCAGATGCATAGAATAAGTCTTAATTCCAGTAACTTAGTCTAGTCTCAGCTGCTCCCCACAGTGTGTGTGTATTTTTCCAATGTTTTTAATCACTAATGCCTCAACATATTTCTATATTCTAAAGCTCATTGGCATACAATCCATTTACAAATAAACCTGAGTGGCAGGAAGAGGACAGTTATTTTCAGAAATCCTCTACTATCTCAGAATTTTAATTTTGGTGTTTGATTCCTCCATGGATTATGGCTTTCATTGAGTGAGGCACTGGTTAATTTGATGACTGATGCTGCCATGATCTCTGATTCTGGGAAATTGTGCATTTTCTGGCTTAGTATTGTTTTCCTCTATTCTGAAAGAGTTGCTGGTTTTCTGTATGGGCTTTCTGTAATTATATAGGACTTGATCTGAATAGGGGATGTGTGGGGAGCAACCCGGACTGGACTGAGTTACTGGAATTGGGACTTATTCTATGCATCTGCTCTCCCACAATATGGCACTGAGAGGGGAGAGACGGCTTCTGCACAGCTGCCTCCAGTTCAACCAATAGGCAGCAGGACTTGCTCCTGATTGGAGGAGAGCAGCGTACTCGGCGTGTGGGCAGCCGAGTTAGGATTGGCGGAGGAGGACTATAAAGGAGGAGAGAGACGGCATGCACCAGGAACATCTAAGGGGAACATCTAAGGGGAACACCTGTGCAGCCCCCGAGAGAGCCGGCCAGCAGTGTGCCGCTCCCCCGCGGAAGTGGGGAATGTGGCAGGGGGAACCGCCCTTCCACGGAGGTGGAAGGGACGGTAGCCAACCCGGGAAGAACCAGCAGCAAACCCGGGGACGGCCGAGCAGACGAAAGAACAGCGCAGGGTCCTGTGTCGTTCCTCCACGAAGACGGGGAGCGACATAATGGTGCCGTGACTCGGATATGAAGCCTAGGCAGGCTTTAGTGTCGTTCCTCCACGAAGAGGGGGAGCGACAGGGATGTTTTGATCTGGTTGGATTTCTTTCCATCTTATTTTTCTTTTCCTCCATAACAGGACTGAGACTGTAGCACATGAGTGATTTGTTTAGGACTTGAGGCCAAAGAAAGAGTGAAGGCATAAAAAACATGAGAAGGGGGAGCAAATTCACAGAAGAAAGTGCTGCTGACTAGGTGGCTAATGTGAGCCAGCTGGTCTATATATTGAACTATGTGGTGCCAAGATACTGCTGTCAACTGATCTCCTGAGATTTGGAATCTGAGGCCATTGTGTATCACTGGATATTTTCTCTGATCTTTTCATAACCTTGTTAACTTGAGTAAGCAGTAAGAGAGACTGGAATATTCAATACAAATTAAGAAAACAGCTTTGTATGTTTGTTATACTAAAATGTGCCAGTCAATGAAGAACAGATCATAGAGGTCCACTCAGTAGAAACACAGTTGGTCACAAGAGTGAATGAATGGAAAATTGTGAACAAGCTTTATATTATGCATTTATGTTTCAAGTTAATTGATTTGGGAAAAGGTCTTTGGTGCAATGCTTAATAAAGCACTTGGGATGTCCACACTCTAGTATGAATATGGAGATTTCTGTCCAGTTCCACTTCTGATTCTAGCATCCTGCTAATGCACATACTGGGAGGCTGCAGGTGATGGTTCAAATATTTGGATCTTGCCATTCAAATGGAAACCTAGACTCAATTTTCACCTCCTGGTTTTAATCCGTCGTGGTCCAGCTGTTGGGAAACTTTAAGAATTAGACAAGTAGTAGATCATTTCCTGCCTCTGAGTGTCTGCCGTCAAAATTTAAAAACAGCTAAAGATTCTATAGTTTAGCTTATTCCTGTTCTTTGGATAAAGGATCTGTTCATGGTTTCTTATGTATTTGTCCCTGTGATGATAAGGGTATGTATATTGTGGCTCAGCCATAAGTTTCCAAGGGAGAAGACACTTTGTGTGAGGTCAACTGTGGCTTGTCAGGAATGGCAATGTACAACCATAAATATGGAAGCTAAATATTGAATAAATACAGCATTGAAAAAGGTTTATTGGGGCTGGCGCTGTTGTGTAGGCGAGTAAAGCTGCCAGCTGCAGTGTTGGCATCCCATATGGGCACCAGTTTGAATCCCAGCTGCTCCACTTATTCAACTTTGTGCTATGGCCTGGTAAAGCAATAGAAGATGGCCCAAGTTCTTAGGCCCCTTGCACCCATGAGGGAGACCTGGAAGAAGCTCCTGAATCCTGGCTTTGGATAGGCCCAGCTCTGGCCATTGCAGCCATTTGGGGAATAAACCAATGGATTGAAGACCTCTCTCTCTCTCTGTGTTTCTCTTTCTGCCTCTGCTTCTGCCTCTTTGTAACTCTGCTTTTCAAATAAACACATCTTTTTCTGAAAAAAAAGTTTACTGAAATTTAAACATTGAAATTTTTATATCAGATTTTGACTAGAACTTTTGGATATTTAAGTGGCTTGAATACTAGTATGGATTTATACCATACTTTAAGTATCTAGGCGCATAGAATATTTATGATAAAATATAAAAGAGAACCACAAATAGAATTTTTTCAGTGTTTCTTTTTTAAATTTAATTTAAGGTATACAAATTTCATGTACTTCATACATAAAGATTCAGGAATATAGTGATACTTTCCACCCTATCCTTCTTCCTACTTATGCTCTCACACTTCTTCCTCCACTTTATTCTTTTCTCATTGTTATTTTTTATAAAAGTCTGTTTTTAGTCTAATTAATGCTTATCAAATTAACCCAGACTAAATAAAGTGTTCATCAAATTGTATGAAAAATTATTCATCAAGACAAGGACTATTAAAAACCATCACATTTTTAAATTTTTTAAAAGATTTATTTTACTTGAAAGAGTTACACAGAGAAGGAAAGGCAGAGAGAGAAGGGTCTTCCATCTGTTTGTTTACTCCTCAATTGGTTACAATGGCTGGAGCTGTGCTGATCCTGAGCCAGGAGCCAGGAGTTTCTTCCATGTCTCTCACATGGGTGCAGGGGCCCAAGGACTTGGGTGATCATCTACTGCTTTCTCAGGCCATAGCAGAGAGCTGGATAGAAAGTGGAGCAGCTGGGACTCAAACTGGGGCCCATATGGGATGCAGGCACTGCAGGTGGCAGCTTTACCCACTACAGCACAGTTCCAGCCCCCCAAATCCTCACATTTTAAAGGGTCAATTTCACTTCTATAGATTACCTTTTAGGTTCTCTATTAATGAACACAGATCAGGAAGAATATGTGGCACTTCTGGTTTGGGGACTGGCTTATTTCACTAAATACAATCATTTACAATTGCATCCTTTTTGTTGCAAACAACAACAGGCTTTCATTTTTTATCACCATGTGATAATTCATAATATGCATATACCAGAATTTTTTTATCCAGTCATCAGATGGTAGACATCTGGATTGATTCCATGTCTTAGCTATTGTGAATTGGGTTACAATAAACCTGGGGTTTCAGATCACTTTCATATGCTGATTTCTTTTGGGTAAATAACCAGGAGTGGAAGGGCAGGGTTGTATTGTAGTTTTATATTCAGATTTCTGAAGTATCTCCATATTGTTTTCAACAGTGACTGAACCAGTTTAAATTCCCACCAACAGTGGAATGAGGTACCTTTCTCCTCACATTCAAGCCAATATTTGTTATTTGTTGATTTTAGTAGAGAGCCATTCTATCTGAGGTGAGATAAAAACATCATGGTAGTTTTGATTTTCATTTCTTGATGCCTAGTGATCTTGAGCAGTTTTTATATGTCTGCTGATCATTTGAATTTTCTCCCTTGAAAAATTTTTGTTTAGGTACTTTGTACATTTCCTAACTGGATTGTTTAGTTTGTTATTGTTGAGGGTCTTGAGCTCTTCATGGATTCTGGATATTAATCCTTTATCGGTTGCATAGTTTGAAAATATTTTCTCCCATTCTGTAGGTTTCCTTTTCACTCTGCTCAGTGTTTGTTTTGCACACTGCAGAAGCTTCTCAGTCTGAAGTAATCCCATTTGTCAATTTTGGCTTTGACTGCCTGTGCTTCTGGGTTATTTTCCAAGAAGTTTTGGCCTATGCTCATGCCTTGCAGGTTTTCTCAATGTTCTCTAGTAATTTGATGCTATTGGGTTGTAGAGTAAGGCCTTTGATCTATTTTGAGTGGATTTTGTGTAAGGTGTAATGTAGGCATGCAGTTTTATATTTCTGCCTGTAGAGATTCAGTTTTCCCAGCACCGTTTGTTGAAGAGGTTGTCTTTGCTCCAGGAATTGATTTTAGCTCCTTTATCAAAGCTAAGTTGGTTGTAGATGTATGACTTTATTTCTGGAATTTCTATTCTTTTCCACCAGTTTATGTTTCTTTTCTTTTTTTTTTTTTTTTTTTTTTTTTTTTTTTTTTTTTTTTTTTACTAGTATCAGGCTGTTTTGGTTATAACTGCCCTGTAGTATGAGAAAGGTCTTCCTTTTCCGTTGGTTCACCCCCCTATTGATGCTGTGGCTGGCACACCATGCTGATCTGAAGCCCAGATCCAGGTGCTTTTTTTCTGGTCTCCCATGCGGGTGCCGGGCCCAAGGACCTGGGCCATCCTCCACTGCCTTCCTGGGCCACAACAGAGAGCTGGACTGGAAGAGGAGCAACCGGGACAGAATCCAGTACCCTGACTGGGACTACAACATGGGGTGCCGGCATTCAGGTGGATGATTAGCCTAGTGAGCTGCGGCACTGGCCCAATTGTTTCTTTTTTAAAAAAATATTTATTTATTAATTTGAAAGGCAGAATTACAGATAGGCAGAGAGAGAGAGAGAGAGGTCTTCCACTCACTGGTTCACTCCCTAGACAGCTGCAACAGCTGGAGCTGTGCCCATCCAAAGCCAGGAGCCAGGAGGTTCCTTCAGGTCTCCCACATGGGTGCAGGAGCCCAATGACTTGGGTCATCTTCTGTTTTCCTCCCAGGCCATAGCAGAGATCTGGATGGAAAGTGGAACAGCTGGGACTCAAACTGGCACAATATGGGATGCCGGCACCACAGGTGGCAGCTTTACATGCTATGCCACAGTGCCAGCCCCTAATGCATTTCTTTTTTAAAAAGATGTCTTTATTTGAAAGACAGAGTTTCATAGAGAGAAGAACAGAGACCTTTTATGCTCTGATTTACTCCCCAAATGCTGTAGTGGCCATGGCTGGTCTGGACCAAAACTAGAGAAATGGAGCCTCACAGGGGTCTCTCAAATGCGTACAGGGGCTCAAGTACTTGGGCCATGTTTCACTGCTTTCTCAGACACATTAGCAAGGAGCTCAGTTGGAAGAGGAGGAGCCAGGTCTTGAACTGGCACATATATGGGATGGTGGTGCTGCAGATGGTGGTTTAATCCTCTACGCCATAACACTGTCCCCATGTAATACATTTCATTTGAATGATTTGATTTTTTTATATTGGCTCATTTTATTTAACTTAATTTGGGCTTTATAGGGTCCCATTTTATCTAGCCAATATGTCACCTCCAAAAATTGCTTTAGATTTATTACTCATGCAGTTGCAGTCTCAGCCACCAATGGGATATTTGGTCACATTGAACTGTGGAAAATTGAAGCAGTGTTAAAGTGAACTGACCAAGTAATGTCCTTGTTTTATATTTATTAATTTTCTTAAGATTACAAGTGGCTCTCTAAATTTATTTTTTTAAAGAATTTTTATTTGTTTATTTGAAAGTCAGAGTTACACAGAGAGAGAAGAGGCAGAGGGAGAGAGAGAGAGAGAGAGAGAGGTCTTCCATCTGATGGTTCACTCTCCATTTGGCCGCAATGGCCGGAGCTGCACCAATCCAAAGCCAGGTGCCAGGAGCTTCTTCCAGGTCTCCCACATGGGTGCAGGGGCCCAAGGACTGGGCCATCTTCTACTGCTTTCCCAGGCCATAGCAGAGAGCTGGATCCGAAGTTGAGCAGCCAGGTCTCAAACCGGCACCGATATGGAATGCTGGCGCTTCAGGCCAGGGCAGTAACCCACTTCACCACAGCGCTGGCCCCTCTAAATTTATTGTAATGCCTAGGTAAGATTCTGATTTCACCCACCCCATTCATTACACCCATAAATCTGTAGATATGTGGCTTTTTAGGAGCTGTGAAAGGTAATTTAGAACTTATGTTGTAGGAACACACAATTCAATTAGTGTCATTTTTATGTTTATCTAAAAGAAATTTTAGATTTCTAACTGTTTCAGGTTGCTCTTCTTCCAGTCCAGCTCTCTACTGCAGCCTGGGAAGGCAGTGGAGGATGGCCCAAGTCCTTGGGCCTTGCGCCCTCATGGGAGACCAGGAGAAAGCACCTGGCTCCTGGCCTCGGACTGGCATGGCGCGCCAGCCACAGCGTGCTGGCCATGGTGGCCATTTGGAGGTTGAACCAATGGAAGGGAGGACCTTTTTCTCTGTCTCTCTCTCACTAACTCTGCCTGTCAAAAAATAAAATTATATATATATACACATGTACATGTATATGTACACAGCTAATTTATTCTTTTTTGTGTTTTCTTCCTATTTCTAGTTTATTTTTGCCTG